CCACTCGCAGCAGGTGCGCGCGGGCCCACGGGGGGGCGGCAAGCAGGCTGTCCACAGCTCTGTGTAGACCCAGGTCCCCCCTGCTCTGGCAGCACCTCCAGGTCTGGCTGGCGCTCCTGGGAGCTAACTACCTGCCGGCTTTGTGTTTCCAAAGAGTCAGGTTTACAGAAGCTGCAATGTGACCGTGGGGCCTTATGAGGCCCCGCCGCCGCCAGGCTCCTTCCACGGGGACTATGCCTACGACGCCTACATGGGCAATTTCAGCAGCGCCCAGGGCTTCCCAGAGTACGGCTACCCTGCCGACGCCGGCTGGCCCGCCGTGGAGCAAGGTGTGTGTGGTCAAGGCCCTGGGTGCCCTCAGGTGCGGGGGCGCCGAGTCACCCCTCGGTCGTTTCACAAGCCTGGGGCGAGAAACGGGAGTGAGTTGCAACTGAGGGCATTTGTGATGGCCTGGCCCGGTCCTCCCCGGAGTAGGACAGCTGTGTCACAGCACGCCCGTCCTTCTGAGAGCCAGGCTGGTCCCACTGGGCTGGCAGCACCCTTGGCTGTAGCTGGACTCACAGGCCGGAGAGCTGCCCTGCCTCTGTCACGGGCACTCGTGTGACTCCGTGTGGCTCACCGCCAGGCTCTCGGGTGGGGCCTCCTGTTCCCATGCCGACCACGCGGGTCAGCAGCCTGTGGAGGGAACTCCGATTCCCCTAGAAAAGCTGCCGTCGGCTCTCCCACTGCCACGCTCAGTCCTCGGGAAGGTCTGTTAATGCTGAGTCTTGGGAACTGTAAAAGTATGTGACGTTCTTGAGATAGTATTTCAATTGCAATCCTCACCCGAGGACACGCTTAGAGAGAGAACAGGAGAGAGACACAGCGATGGGAGAGGAACAGCAGTGGCATCCGTTGGTTGCCGCCCTCTCCCCCGCCCCTCGCATACGCCCCTCCTGGGGACCAAACCCGAAAATGCCAGGGGCTTGAACCCGTGACCTTTCAGTGCACAGGACGTGCTGGACCTGAGCTGCCAGGCTGGGCAGCGGCCCTCCTCGTCTTCACTGGGTGCGGTCACGGCCCCGCCGTTGAGGACGAAGGCTCAGGCACGAAGGGTCCCGGGTGCTGCCTCCTGTGACAGGCGCTTCGGGCGGTGTTCCAGAGCTTTTAGATTTCGAGGAGATGGTTTCGTTTCTAAGGATTTAGACATTTCCTAAGCCGAGCTGGAGTTCTACTTTAACGGGGCCCTTAGCCACTAGTGACTTCCAGCTGAAAGTCAGTTCATGTGGGGCCTCAGCCTGTGGGCACCTTGACATCGAGCTGTGGTCTGGCTCCGAGGCCCCAGAGCTGACCCCCCGGCTGTGTCCTGTTCACGTCCTCCCTGCAGCTCCGTCGAGACCCACTTCCCCGGAGAAGTTCTCCGTGCCTCATGTCTGTGCCCGGTTTGGTCCTGGGGGTCAGCTCATCCGCGTGATCCCCAATCTGCCCTCGGAGGGACAGCCGGCCTTGGTGGAAGTGCACAGCATGGAGGTGAGGCCGGGGCTCAGCCTTGTCTGAAAACGGTCGTGCGGAGTGTTTCCTCCATGGACCCTCGGTGGAGGGGGTTTTATTTGTTCTGTGTGGTTGTGCGTCTTTTATCTTTGTTTGCGTTTCTGATTTTGAGGGGAGGGCCTGTTGGTGTTCAGTACTGGTGATTTCAGTGACGAGTAGGGAGGTGGCCAGTGGGGGTTGGGGTGCCTGGGGGCCCGTGTGGTGGGCACTGTTTTGCGGCCCACCAGCCTCTGTCACATGTATTGGCTCAGAGTTCAGGGGGAATGGGTCTCATCGCTTTAAAGGGTGAAGGTCACTGTTGCCAACCAGACACGGCCAAGCCCCTGGTGGAGCGCCTCGGCCTCCCCGATGGGACAGACCGTCCTCGGGTCAGCAGACACAGGGGGCAGTGGCGGAGCCTGCCCTGAGCTGCCCCTCCCTGTCCCCCCTGTCCCCCCTGTCCCTTCTTGTCCACAGACGCTGCTACAGCACCTGCCGGAGCAGGAGGAGATGCGCGCCTTCCCGGGACCACTTGGCAAGTAGGTCCCGCCGGGGCACGGGCAGCTGTGGGCACCGCGTGAGCGTGGCTGGGCCGCGGCGCTCATCGCTGTCCGCTGAGGGCTGTCCTCCTTTCAGAGACGACACCCATAAGGTGGACGTTATTAACTTTGCGCAGAGCAAAGCCACCCAGTGTTTGCAGAATGAGAGCTTAATTGACAAAGAGTCCGCAAATCTCCTCTGGAACTTTATCATCCTGTTGTGCAGACAGAACGGGGTACGTGTCGTCTTACCTTTAAAACGCCTCTTCTTGGCCTGGAGTCTCAGGGATCCTGTCCCCCACGGTGTGGGGAGGATTTCTGTGCTGGGCCGAGCACGCGGAGACAAGCGGGGTGTGCAGCTGGGGTGAGGGGAGGTTCGGGCCCACCATGTTGGTCTGTCGGGCTCCTGGGCGTGTGGGGGTGGCGGCGTGCACTGGGCGGCCTGTTGGCGGCCTCCCCCAGCAGGGCCTGTGGGAAGTTCTATCCGTCGTGAAGGCCCTTGTTCTTTCTGTCCCCGCCGCCCTGCAGACCGTGGTGGGCACAGACATTGCCGAGCTGTTGTTACAAGACCACAGGACGGTGTGGCTTCCTGGGAAGTCACCCAACGAGGCCAACCTGATCGACTTCACCAACGAGGCCGTGGGTCAGGCTGAGGAGGAGGAGGAGTCGGTGGAGGCCCAGCTCTCCTTCCTCACCGACAGCCAGGCCGCCACCAGCTCTCAGGAGAAGGAGACGGAGCGGTTCCGGGAGCTGCTGCTCTATGGCCGCAAGAAGGCGAGTTCCGAGCTCTCGGGCGCCGGGGCGTGTCCTGGCGTCTGCTGCGGGGGCTTAAGTGCCAGGAAGCAGTGGGAGGGACAGGCCTGCCTGGAGAGCACCGGGCCTTGACGGCCACCCCGTGAACAGGTGTCTGGCCCTGTCATCTCTGAAGGTGTCAGCACCGTCTCCTCACACGTTGCCAGCGTTGAAGTCTGTTTCCCTCCTCATTCCCGCACAAGTGCACGCAGTCGCGCTCGGGCTGTGCCCGCCCCTGCAGTGCTGTCGGGTGAACACGTGCACGAGACAGACATACAGCCCGTGGTCACAGTTAGGGGTGCGCTCGGCCTCTGAGGTGTGCGGGGTGTGGGGGAGCGGTGCCCAGCGGGAATGGATCAGGCACGGCGCGTGCAGAGGCTGCGGGCCGGGGGAGTGGCAGAGGCCTCGCACAGGTGCTGGCGCTGTGGAAGTTCTCTCTGGTTGTGCCGAGTGGAGGGCGGGTCTAGGGTAGAGGGGTCCCTGTGGGCTGTGGGCACATGCCCAGCTCTGCGTGGCCCGGCGGCAGGGGTCTGACAGCCCCAAGTCCTTGGTGCTTGTATGTCATGATAAGCTCAGGTCACGGTCAGAAGTTCTCTGAAATATTAGGTCACTTGGCTAAGGGGACACGCTGCCCACGTGGAGAGGCATCATCGCCCTGGGACGTGCACAGTGGCCCGGTGGGAAGGACCTCTGAGGGTGGCAGCGCTGCCTCCCAGCGTCCTGTGCCTACTGGCCTGCTTGTTCTAGTTATTAAAAATAAGTTTTTAACGTATTGATGTTGCGGAGAGAAGAGAAGCAGGACCTTGACTTGTTGTTCCCCTTGTTCATGTGCCCTGACCTTGGTGCGTCGGGACGGCGCTCTAACCACCGGGCAGCCCGGCCAGGGCTGCTTGTAACAGTTTGTAAAAGCAGGACCCACGGCCACAGGCACTGTGACAGGGGGTGAGGGCAGTGGCCCAGGTGTGTTCTGGGGGCCATTGAGGCAAGTGTGTCACCGCAGTCGAGCCCTTTCCTCTTTCCCGGCCACGCGGACGACACGCTCTCCGGCGCCTGACGCGCGTCACGTGAGTCCCTGCCCCTCGGCTCACTGCGCTGCTTTGCAGGATGCTTTGGAGGCCGCGATGAAGAACGGCCTGTGGGGTCACGCTCTGCTGCTCGCCAGCAAGATGGACAGCCGGACACACGCCAGAGTCATGACCAGGTACAGACTCGCTGGGCTGGCGGCTTCTGGGCGCAGCCAGCTGGTCCGGCGGCCGAGCCTTGGCAGCTCTTCGAGGCACAGGGTCTAGCTCTCGGCGGAGAAAGCTGGGCCTCCCCTGCGCTGCGGGGCCGCGCCCTGTGCACTGCTCGGTGCTTAGCTCTGTCAGATCGCTGAGCGCCTTGTCTCTCTCTCGGGCCTTTAACACTGAGCTGCGTGCGCGCTGAGGGGAGGGAGGCATCGGGCTGATGGTTGAGGGGCTGAGACGGGGCCAGCCGTGTGGGGGAGCCAGGCCAGGTCAGCTTCCTCTCGTGGTGTCTCCCCAGATTCGCCAACAGTCTTCCCATCAACGACCCTCTGCAGACCGTCTACCAGCTGATGTCCGGGCGGATGCCTGCAGCGTCCACGGTCAGTGGCGCTCCCGTGGCTCTCGCGGCCGCGTGCGTGGGGACTGCTCTGGCGGTTTCATCGCGGGATGAGGCTGCCTTCCTTTCTGCCCTGCCCCTCGCTCCCGGAGCCCGACCCTACAGGCTGGTGACACTCGGCCCGGGGTCACCCAGGGTAAGGAGTGTCCCGCTGGCTTTCTGTACCTAGTGCTGCGGCGATGAGAAGTGGGGAGACTGGAGGCCGCACCTCGCCATGGTTCTGTCCAACTTGAACAACAACATGGATGTGGAGTCCAGGACGATGGCCACGATGGGTGACACGCTAGGTGGGTCCGTGCAGACGGGAGGCCGTGGGCGTGGGGCACGGAGACTGCGCGCAGCATGTCGGGTGGAAGGGGCCGGACTCCCGCGCCTCTGGCATCGCTGCCGCTGGCTGTTCGCCATCTTTGGTTTCGGGAGAACCCCCCGACCGAGACGTGGCCCCTGTGTCTCCTCAGCCTCGAAAGGCCTCTTGGACGCCGCGCACTTCTGCTACCTCATGGCCGAAGTTGGATTTGGGGTTTATACCAAGAAAACCACAAAACTCGTCTTGATTGGATCGAACCACAGGTGAGGAATTGCATAACTGTGTGCCCCTCCCCGCCCCGCCCTCCTGTTAACCCAGACGGAGCCGGGAGGTGGCCTTGCAGCCTGGCCGTGTGGCATGACGTGCTGCTGGGGGACTGGCTCAAATAAGTTCACTCCTTTCCTCAACAGTTTGCCATTTTCAAAGTTTGCGACCAATGAAGCCATCCAGAGGACAGAGGCCTATGAGTATGCACAATCGCTAGGCACACAGTCCAGCCCCATGCCCAACTTCCAGGTGAGCCCCGCCCACAGGCTGGGCACGCAGTCCAGCCCCATGCCCAACTTCCAGGTGAGCCCCGCCCATGGGCTGGCGAGGCTGCGGGCTGTAGGGTGGAAAATTCTCACGCAAAAGGCAGTGTTTTTGGAAATCTTGGGGCGACATTGATCGGTAATGTTTGAGAATAAACCCTGTTGAATTGAGGATTTTGTTTGTATTTTGGGTCTTAATATTTAAAATCTTATAAATCTCGAGTATTTTGTTTCAATCGGCTATTTTTAGTGTGATGAGGAGTGTTATCTGACCCAGGAGTGAGTGTGAGAGTGTCTGAGCGTGTGTGTGCATGTGTGTGCAGCACTTGCATGGCCCTGAGCGAGGAGACTGGCTGTGGGACAGGCCGCGTGTGGCGGGGGCTGTGAGCGTGTGCTGAGCTGCGGCCTCTCTACTTGACCTGGCAGCTCTGAGGGCTGCAGAGGACTGTGCTTCGAAGCTCACAGTGTCCTGTGCTCTGAACTGTCTCCAGGAGCAAACGAGCTGCGGGGGCGGGGCCGG